AGGAGAAACTGGGAAAATAATCTAAAAGTTTGGATGCGGAATTTTTTCCAGGGGGGCTGAAAATGGTTTTTTTGAGATGCTAGTTTTAATCAGCGAGAAAAACTACATCAGACTGGTGAATATGAGCTTGATCTGAGAGGGGGCCGATTTTGCCTCTTATCGACCCCCGTTCTTTTTTAAGTTTCTGCTCCTTGCGTACTAATATTATTCAAATCACTTGGGATAATTATTGTATTCATATTGCATTTTGAAGCTATCTTCATTAACTGTCTACAGTTCAATTTTCAAGTCCTGTCTATTACTGGTTACGGAGTTAGAAGACACTTCTTGATCGGGGTTCACTTTCAAATTTGGGGTTATTCTAGTGACTATACCATAACCCATTTATATCTCGTGAAACATAAACCCAAATGGACGAAAATGTGCTTCCTCACCACATTTGGCTGAGCCAGAGATGCACAAAATTTTAAGGATCTAGGTTTTGTCATTCAAAAACTATAGTTGTACTCAATCTTCTGATCATTTCTTACAAAATTCTGGTCTTTTATTACACACGAGCGACAGTTGCTACGACGCGTCCACATAGACCTGGTTATCATCAAGAGTTCTGCCTCCTCTGCACCGGGAATCTATAAGTTCGTTTCAGATACATAAGAGTCATGAGGCAAGCAAGGCAAGCGAAGCCTCCTCGCTTCTTCAGCAAAGACTAAACAAATTGCTATACGCAATTTATCACCGTCTGTATTCGACAAGTCTAAATCCTCGACTCTATCACTATGAAATTGTCTGATGCTCTGTGTAGTGACAGTAATAGCGCTATCTTCTCTGAAGGCAGCCCAAAAAATAAGTGGAAGCCAAACATTTATCTGCGTTTGGAAGAACATGCGAATAAGTTCCATTGGTTTCACACAATCCAGCGGAATCAGTAGCCTCATCTCAACAAGCCTACAAGCCGCATCAGCACTCAAGTGCTGCAACATAGAACGTGAAAACAACATAGACGCAGCTGAATAGACCGCCGCACCATTAATCGCATCGTCAAGCACAGCCAACAATCCATTGATCACATCAGGCGTGACTACCTCTGTACCCATTTTGCCCAGAGCTTCTTCTGCACGACATCTGACAACAAGCTCTTGATCGCCAAGTGCAACCACCAATACTTTGATCACATCAGGCGTGACTGCCTCTGTACCCATTTTGCCCAGAATTTGAGCTGCACGTAATCTCACATCATCATGTTCATCGCCATGTGCAACCAGCAATCCATTGATCACATCAGGCGTGACTGCATTTGTTCTCAGTTTGCCGAGAGCTTCAGCTGCATTCGCACTAACAAAGTCCTCCTTATCGCGAAGTGCAGCCAACAATCCATTGATCACATCAGGCATGACTGCGTTTCCATCCATTTTCCCGATGGCTTCAATTGCATACTTTCTAACAGAGTATTCTTTATCGCGAACTGCAGCCAACAATCCTCTGACCACATCCGGTGTGGCTGCACTTGTACCCATGTGGCCCAGAGCTTGAGCTGCACGAGATCTGACAAAATAATGTTCGTCGCCAAGTGCAACCAGCAATCCATTGATCACAACCGGCGCGACTACATTTGATGTTGGGAATAAAGAAAATTTGTTTTCTCAACTGTTAAAGGACAAAGTGAGGCATTGAAAGTAAAGTAGTCATGCCGAAAGTCATGATGTCACAATATTCATGTATATGTATATGTAATACAGGAGACATTAAGAAAATGGTGTGACTAAACTACTTACCTTATTATATTTTGGAAGGAGCAACTCAAGCTGCAAATCGCATCAAAGGAAAACTGTGTGCATATACGATTTGATATGACTATTTGCAATATCTATAGTTACTGTTCATCAATAAAATATAATGTGATCCTTAAATGAGTCTGCTTGCAAAATTCATCCCAATTTCTAGAAATGGCCATAATTTTCTTTTGATTGATTATCACATAATTTCCCATTGTCAAAAATGGATCAACTTTAGATCGCTTTTGCTTACGCAAATTTATGATTGAGATATACTTTGCAGATTGAGAAAATATGCAAAAATAATGGATTTCTTTAATTAAGGCGCAACTAATGCAAAAAATGGAGCAGATCTTTTTTTAAACTTATTATACACCATTCATAATTAATGCTATTATTGTTTACGCAGTTAATAATTTTGTTGAAAGGCCTTTGAAGTTTTCCGTTCGTATTTATTCATAAATACGAAGGGAAAAGTTCATATACACCATTCGATAGAGTTTTTCGAGCTAATCACGAATATATAGTTTTTAATTGTTAGAAACGCCTTTTTCATGTCGAAAAATTGAGAAAACTCGAGGGGTCTAAAAACTCAAAAAAGTCGACTGATGTGTATTTCTATCCTATCAGACTACTTTAACTTTTCTCGAATTTTCATGTTGAAAAATTACCGATTGATTTTTGGGAAATATAGGCCTTAGGGAAGGAAGGTGACGTACTGGCTAGAAGAATGAGTACAGCTATGATTCTTGAACAACAAAGCCTAGATCTTTGAAGTTTGGTGTGTATCTAGTCCATCAAAAATTTGGTTGAGCATACAAGCTTTAGCTCATTTGTGCTAATGTTTCGCGAGATATAAATTTTTTAAGTTTCTAATCCTTGTGTAGAAATATTATTCAAATCACTTGGGATAATCATTGTATTCATATTGCATTTTGGAGCTATCTTCATTAACTGTCTACAGTTCAATTTTCCAGTCCTGTCTATCACTGGTTACGGAGTTAGAAGGCTGGTTGCACTTGGCGATGAACATAACGATGTCAGATTTTGTGCAGCTCAAACTCTGGGCAAAATGGGTACAAATGCACTCACGCCTGATGTGATCAATGGATTGTTGGCTGTGCTTGACGATGAAAGTAATGATGTGAGGGTCTATTCTGCTGCGTTCTTGTTTTCACGTTCTATGTTGCAGCACTTGAGTGCTGATGCGGCTTCTAGGCTTCTTGAGAAGAGGCTACTGATACCGCTGAATTCCGTGACACGACAGTTGAGCCTATGACATTTGAGCCCCGACAAATGAGCCTCGACAGATGAGCCTACCGGCACTTATGGCATGACTGCGCTTTCACCCATGCTGCCCAGAGCTTTAGCTGCATTCTGTCTAACAAAGTACTCCTTATCGCGAAGTGCAGCCAACAATCCATTGATCACATCTGGCATGACTGCGTTTCCATCTATTTTTCCGAGAGCTTCGATTGCATGGTTTCTAACAGAGTATTCTTTATCGCGAAGTGCAGCCAACAATCCGTTGATCACATCAGCCTTGACTGCATTTGTACCCATTTTGCTCAGAGCTTGAGCTGCACGACGACTGATAAACTAATGTTCATCGTCAAGGGCAGCCAACAATCCATTGATCACATCAGGCGCGACTGTACAATCATGTAGAACAAACTAGAAAAAAGTTTTGCGTTTTTTGATGGAAGTGCAGTCACACCTGATGTGGTCAAAGGATTGTTGGCTGCATGAGGAGAATGATCCTGTCATCAGAAGAAATATGTTAGTTTGACTAAATTCTTTACATTTTATCCAACTGTATTGTTTTCTTTTAACACTCAGTTCATATTGTTGCATTTAGAATTTTGTTTCAGCTTTAAATATATAATTAGATTTAGTTATGGTGCTTCACAAGAAGAGGAAGAGCGAAGTCGATTTCATTTATTCTCAGTTTATAACTCGACTTTCTTTTGACAAGTTTCTCTCATTTTGTGTAGATTCATACGACGACTTTCCTCCTGTAGACACATGAAGCCATCTTCTAGAAACAATGTTCACTTTTCAAGGCAAAAACGAAATGAAAACGGGTTATTACGCCTCTAGCAACAATGTGAAATGAAAAAGAATGAGAATCAATCTTTTCCAATTCGTCATCTGATGAGTCATCCTTGTGCTTATATAGAAGGACGATGGTTTCTTTTTCCATTCAAAAAGAAGACACCTAGTTGAAAAGACAAGTGACCATTAGAGTCCATCTTGGCAGTAAGAATTCTCCCGTATATTAATAAACACCATTCTTGTTCATTTATCCATAGTAATCTGATTTTTCCTTCTTTTGTGTTAAAAACAAATTTATCAGCCAGATTTTCGTTACACGTTGTAGTCATTGTTCTGTAGGATATCGTATGCGAATAAACAGGCCATATGTACGTATCTTCTGTGCGTTCAATTTTCAAACATCGACTACCGCAGTGAATAAATTTTGTTACTGGTGAAAACGTAAACAACGAGGAATTCTTGTGACACTGCCTCCACTGTACTTGTCGTGAGACAGCACCCCAATGTACGGTTGCTAAACGAAGTAATAAAAAACTCTGATTACTATCAATATTCTGGTATCATTTGATATCACGCTACTAAGCTCACAAGATGTTAGAACAATTCCCGAGTTGTAAAAAAACTGCGCTAATATAACACCCAGCAGCTCTTTGAATAGCTGACCAGCAGTTTGCCTTTGGTACTCACTTTTAACTGTGTCTCAAGAGCCTGCTAACTTAACTTTTGTTTGCATTTCGACTGTTTGAGTTTAAAGAGAAAAGACTGCGGTGATACTATTTCAAAGTTAGCAGACTGTTGTATGTAGCTGTTCTTCTTTTTTCTTCACAAATTACACTTACATATACAAATAGTCGAAAAGCTAAAATAAATTATATATACAAAATCGAAAGCTCGGCTAAACCAATAAAGTGATTTTCAAACAAAATCAATAATGATATTAGTTTTATACTCGATATTTTCTAAATAAAGATGACTGTTTTCGAAAAATAACTTGGAAAGATGGTAGAAAGGTTTGGTTTTGGGCGTTTTGCATTGTAGAGAACTGCGGTATACTATTCTCTATAAGGATCATGTCTGCATAATGTCGCAAACTAGGAATGTGTCGAACTCGAACGCAGATTGGAGGTTGGGCTTCTTTCTTGTCAACGCAGAGTTAGCTCCAAGATTTACCAGACACGGTCTGTAGAACATATTTAAAAGTTTTTTTGATGCTACAAGACTTGATATAATATTATAATATTTCTTTTTATGCCCTTCATTCTTGCTTCGTTTGAAGAACTTTGTCATTCTATAGAAGGGACTCTATCAGCGGAATATATTGCCAGAACGTGCACAGATCCTTTAGTATATCGTGGTGTGTTCCATATGGATTCACTCAAAATGTGTTTATTTTCGCAGACGTGCATACAAGAGCGTAAAACGAAATAATACAAACTTGTCAATGAGTAGGAATGCAACAGCAGTGTAAAATGACAATAAAAAACATACTATCACATGTTGGAGACTGTAGGGTTTTTAGCTAGTTATCAGCGTCAACATTTTCGAGAGGTTTGTGTTAAGGATCAATGGACGCTTTCGGAACTTGTATAGCCTGGATGGAGCGCAATGAGTGCATTTGGTGAGTTTTGCTTCGATCACAGCTCTCCTCCAAGATACAACCAGTTAGCCATAGTTATTATGAAATCGCGCTGGAATAATTTCTGAATCCAACGTTTTGGAATCTGCTCGATCCGATAAAGAGCGCCGGCAAGTTGGCCATAGATAGCCGCCGTCGTATCTGTGTCATCTCCCAAATTCACAACCGATAGAACACCGCGTTCGAAGGAGTCTTGATCATTCCAAACTGCCCAGAGAGCAGCTTCGAGAGCGTCCAACACGTAACCTTTGCCACGAATACCATCTTCATAACCATTCTTTTTTTTGTAAGAACCCTCGGCAATGTTAATGACATCAAGGTGTAGTGGAGGTGAGAAATAATATGCACGATAGAATTTGGGATCCAAAAGTTCATATTTACTCAAACCTTAAAGTGCGCCACAAATGAGAGCAGCGTAGAATCGGCAGGCATCAGCGGCTCGAGGATCACCATGTGTGAGAACCACATTTTCGCCTGCGTAATTAATAGCAGCTTTTTCTGATCGAAAGAAAAAGAGAGGTATTGATGCCATACGCATGAGAGGTCCATTGCCGGCAGAATCTTCTGATCCGAAATGCAGCTTGAAATCAACGCTAACACAGTCACATTGACTTATCATTGTATCGCGATCTCGTTCCGATTTGATCGTTCTTGGTTTCAACTGGCAAAAACGTTCTGCAAAGTTCAGTTGACGCTTCTCAAAGTCGATAACAGCTAGATGTGTCGCTTGACCGATATCAAAGCACTTTCCTATAGATGACATGTATCCATCCTTATACCACCATTTGTATCGCACTAGTTGATCGTAAGCATCGAAGCCCTGTTTAACTATAAGACTGGCGGCAAGGCAGAGAGCCATCGATGTGTCGTCTGTCCATTGACCAGCCTGTAGGCCCCAGGTACCCCCACTCTGCATGTCTGTTACGGGATATTCTTGTAAATATGTGTGAGGAC